CAGTGCTCAACTAACCCCTAGTAACCTCTGAAGGAACCCTGGTTGAGATAGGCTGGGTTAGGGAACACAGCTCTGATTATGTCTTTATTTACAAACTTGTATATTATGGTAGAATTTATGGATGGAATTTTGGTCCACTGTAGTGTTCAGACAGTATATATATTTCATTGGTGCCTTTTATAGTCTGTCCAGTAGATTCTGGAGTTTTGGAGGCCACTAATTTACTTATTATTTTAGTTTATGAAAAGCTGACCATGCACTAGTAGAATTTAGTTAGAATTGTTTTGTGTTTGGAATGTTTTTCTGCATTTCTAATGGATAGTGGAGTCAAATTGAGATAGCAACAAGAACATTAGAAGGAGCAGAATAGAAAGTTTTTCTTGAATATACAACATTTTTTATTGTGATTGTGGTTTTCTTTTTTAGGAAAAATCAAACATATTGTAATGAAACCTATTTAATATGTCTGGAATTCCATTCAAATAGAAGGTCTGGACAAAATGTTAAGGACTTTAAAACAAAATTAGTATACTCAATGATGGCAAGATCAAATGCTCTGAGGAACTACTTTTCAGAATTTCAGTACAAACAACAATAACCGTGTATGGTCAGGTTTCATGATCAGGGATCACACCGACCAGCAGGATAAGTCCACAAGCAGGGTCACCCTAAAAGAAGATGTGGACTCACCCAAGGCGCAGGGTCTAAGTACTAACCGGTATTCAACAGAGCTCCTGATGGTGGAAATGGGTTTTGCTGCATGTTAGTACCAGGTCACAGTCCTTAGGATCGCCCTCTCAGGAGATATGCAAGCTGGGGTCCAGAAGCAGATATAGCAGGTAGGGATCAAGCAGAAGCATAGTCAGTAAACAAGTCAAAGGTTGGTAACAACTGGTGGCAGGTTGAGATCAAGGGGAAATCAGTTGAGGAACAAGCCAAAGGTCAATAACAAATGGTTGCAGAATGAAATCAAGTAAAATCATAGTCAAGGAACAAGCCAAAGATTGGTAACAAGTGGTAGTGAAGATAAGAACAACTGTAGGTACACAATGGAGCAAGATATTGGCTGGAGGGAGCAAAATAACCTGGCAAACAGGAAGTTCATGTGAGGAGCAAAGAGTTCAAAGTTCATCCCAAACAATGTTTAAGGCAAGATTGTCTAAGGTTCTGGCAGGTTGTTGTCCAGCATCTCAAGTGTCTCAGCAAGAAGAGTTACTGCCAGACAAAGCAGAGGTCCTAGGTTCAGTTCTGGGTCCTGACACTAAGTTATGTAAACGCTGTCCAAAGGCATACACTATCCTGTCTTGGATTCTGCAAATCGTTCAACCAGATAAAAGACTACACCCATGTTAGTATGGTGGTGGTCAACTGAGTAAGTATAGCTACATGTCCTGAGGACCAGCTTACTTTTGCACCCATTCACATTGATATGCTGCAGTGGCATGCAGTAAAAAATTGTGTTTTCTAATATTAAAATATGATATATGCTTGTGTGAAACATTGATGTATTGATAAGATCAAGTGGGGTTTGGGCAGACAAGAATTGGCATGGTGGTGACATTTTCGCAGATCTACAACATGTGTGCCAAACAATACTCTCATTAGTTGACATTTTATTGCATTTAATCAGCATGTGCCTTTACATCAAATTCATGAATATTATGCGAATACAGCAAAATAAGCGATACGTGCTAAATGCATACATAAATAAAATAAAAAGTGAAGTCCATCAATAAAATGACACACTCCTCTGACTTCCTCCACCACACAAAAACACCAGATTCTTACCAGTATCATAGACCTCAGAATATAGGAGGTATATATGATGCTCATTCATCAAAGGCTTTTACACTGTGTACTCCTATATAGACCAGGTAATAGGAACCATAGGCCTTGCCAGCAGGAATGTGATGCGGACCGGCAAAGAAATGAATCACAGAAGCCACATAGCATAAGGCCATAATCACCAGTTTATTTATTCTAAAAAGGTACTCACATTATACAGCATTCGCATAAACAAATGGGCCACCAGCGGGTCTGGCAGCTTGATGTCATCAGCTTTAGTCCCGTTCCGACGCGTTTCATCGTAAGGAGATGTTCTCAAGGGGATATGCTGTTAGCACATATTGCATGTTTCGCGGTGTTTGCACAATGTTCATAAATTTGATCTAAAGGCACATGCCATGAATTTTTATGATAAATGATGATGGATTTTATTTGATGAATTTTTATTTATTTGCATGTTTGCACATTTTGTAGAATTTGATGATTTAAAGGTACAGTGCAACATTATTTGTTATTGTTTTAGCATCACCTTAGTATTTTGGATGTGTCATGAGTGCTGTTGTACTTAATAGTTTACATTTATTAAGTCTGGATGGTTTAAAACTAAGCACGGTTTTTTAGTTTCTAGATTTTATTGCATTTAATTAATTGATTTTCACTTTTTTTTCTTCACAGCCCCTCCCATGCAGTTCTACAGCAACAGTTATATGAAGTTCAGTTTTGGGCACCAATTCACAAAAAGAACATTGGGGAACTGGAGAAAGTACAGAGAAGGGCAACCAAACTGATAAGAGGCATGGAGGAGATCAGCTATGAGGAAAGGTTAGAGGAACTGAATTTTTTCTCTCTTGAGAAGCGAGCGGAGATTAAGGGGGGGTATGATCTCCATGTATAATACATAAGGGGGGATATGATCTCCATGTATAATACATAAGGGGGGGATATGATCTCCATGTATAATACATAAGGGGGGGATATGATCTCCATGTATAATACATCAGGGGGGACATGACCACCATGTATAATACATAAGGGGGGACATGATCTCCATGCATAATACATAAGGGGGGACATGATCTCCATGTATAATACATAAGGGGGGATATGATCTCCATGTATAATACATAAGGGGGGATATGATCTCCATGTATAATACATAAGGGGGGACCTGATCACCATGTATAATACATAAGGGGGGACATGATCTCCATGTATAATACATAAGGGGGGGACATGATCTCCATGTATAATACATAAAGGGGGATATGATCTCCATGTATAATACATAAGGGGGGGGACATGATCTCCATGTATATAATACCTAAGGGGGGATATGATCTCCATGTATGATACATAAAGGGGGGTATGATCTCCATGTATAATACATAAGGGGGGGTATGATCTCCATGTATAATACATAAGGGGGGATATGATCTCCGTTTTTAGCTTTAGTATCACTTTAAGTCCATCTTGCCCTGCTAGTGCATTTAACACTACCCTCTCCCCAGTCTACCAAGACTGTTGTCCAAAGGTGTCTCCAGTACTCCTCCATCCATAGTGGAGACACCCTAAGACAAAGGAAGTGTGTTATTGTCCAGTTGAAAATAAAAGGGGAAAAAGGCCTACAAAAGAAAATTAACGCAGCCACCACATTTAAGGATTAGTAAGGTGCAACATATCTAATTTTTGTTTTGGGTTTAATACTACTTTAATTCTATAAAAGAATATGGGTATGGATCTTTCGATATGAGGAAAAAATCCAACATCCCATTCTCAACATCAATAATCAAATCATATAAGACCCACTGGATTGCAATCAATACAGTAAAAATAAATTAAATAATATTATGTTAAGTTAGGTTACGGTTAAGTTAGGTTAGATAGGTTAAGGTAACACATCCTCCTAACAGTTGGAAGTCAAACTCCAAATATAATATCATAAATGCATTGTCCAAGAACAGCCAACAATAAATGGGACATGCTTCTCAGTAAGGTTCATTGTGATTCAGATAAATTGAATCTCCTGTTATTTAGATGGATGGGAGCTTTTCAAATGCATAATCAGAAATTTTCAGTTGCACTCCATCACATGGAGAAAAACCGCCATTGCAGCATTCCGCTTATATGCATACAAAACCTCTATCCATCAAAAGCTTCGATAAGATGTTTGTTGTGTGATTGGTAAGTATTGATGTTGAGATTGAAATAGTGGATTTTTTTCCCCATATAGCCCATGTTTTTATGGAATTCAATTATTTAGTAAAGATTATAGTTTTATATCTATAGACATATTTTATCCTAATTGCAAGGACAAAAAAAAAAACCTTAGAATTTTTGCTTGTACATGATTGGCTGATGGAAGTCAGTAAAACTCCACCTCATTCACTAAGTTCTGGGGAAAATTCCATTGTCTATTTGCCTTTAGTAAATCAACTCCAGTATGATGACTTACTGCAGGGCTTAAAATTTCAAGTCCTGAGCTACTAGCCAGGCCTTAAGAGTTACTTGCCACCAGTTGCTCCACCTAACCTTTACCCTGCCTCGCCCCTAATTCCGCCCCTAAACATGCCCGCGTAAATTATTTCATGAAATGACACTGTTAAATGTTACCCACATTACATCAGTGTCCTCAGAGTCCCCCCACATTACATCAGTGTCCTCAGAGTCCCCCCACATTACATCAGTGTCCCCAGAGTCCCCCCACATTACATCAGGGCCTCCAATGTCCCCCTAAACACTCCATCATACTTAGACCATGCACCGCATACAACCATAACCCCCCATAATCTTTCACTCACAAAACCATAACTCTACCAAGCATATCCTACCTACTATCCAACCGAGCAATACCTCAAATGTCCCATACCCTACCACCCATAATAACCACATAATCCTGAACCTGACAAAACCACCCATACATGTAGGTTTACATACACACATATGTACATACCAGGGGCGGACTGACAACTTATGGGGCCCCCGGGCAATAGGGGATCATGGGGCCCCTGTGTCCTAGCCCACACTCAAACTACACCCAAAAAAGCCTATGAAAGGTACCAGGGGCATCTCATTGGGCCCCCTACTGACCCTGGGCCCTCGAGCAGTGCCCGAGTTTCCAAATGGTCAGTCCGCCCCTGGTACATACACACACACAAACAGAGACACCTGTACACACAGACATGTACATACACACACATACATACACACATAGAAACATGTACATACACACACAGACATGTACATACACACAGAAACATGTACACACATGCACAGAGACACATGTACACACACACACATACAGACACGTATACACACACAGACACATGTACACACACACATACAGGTAAAATGGTAAACGAGCGAGAAATGCATAAAAACATAAAAAGCAGCTGGCATAAAAGGTTAAACCTCCAACCCTCGTATGGCAATAATATCTAAAAATGCAGCGCTAAAATACAAACACCTCATATAACCGTATGAGATATAAATATATAACACATATCATTCACACAAACTGCGTATAGGTAAACGCACATATAGCCAACTGATTGTGCTCAGTCCAAATGGAGATCAAATAAAAAAATCAATATCAATGCGCTGAGGAGCTGAGTGCAGATTGCGTCTAGATATGGCGCAAGTGGTGTATTGGTGACAGCTTAATTGTCCAGACAGATGTAAAATCCATGCTTCTAGTGCATGTGGGAATGAGAATAAATTGCACTAACCAGATAGCGCAATAAACACAGCGCTTTTGAGTAATAAAGACCACTCCTGGTCATCATCATCCTGGAGTAACCACAGGGATCGTCTGGTATACGTCTGCACCACAGCCAATCGTCCACTGCCACTCTCCGGATTATAGGGAAAACTCTACTCCAAGTATATGCACCCAATAAAAAGCACTTAAGGAACCCACCTTAATGGCAGAAAGGCATGAACCCCTGTTAAGAGTGGTCAATCACGCGGTTTGTTAAACAATCCAGAAAGATTGGCTGTGGTGCAGACGTATACCAGACGATCCCTGTGGTTACTCCAGGATGATGATGACCAGGAGTGGTCTTTATTACTCAAAAGCGCTGTTTATTGCGCTATCTGGTTAGTGCAATTTATTCTCATTCCCACATGCACTAGAAGCACGGATTTTACATCTGTCTGGACAATTAAGCTGTCACCAGTACACCACTTGCGCCATATCTGGACGCAATCTGCACTTTAATGTTGCGCTCCTCAGCGCATTGATATTGATATTTTTATTTGATCTCCATTTGGACTGAGCACAATCAGTTGGATATATGTGCGTTTACCTATACGCAGTTTGTGTGAATTATATGTGTTATATATTTATATCTCATACGGTTATATGAGGTGTTTGTATTTTAGCGCTTCCTTTTTTAAGATATTATAGACACACATACATGTACATACACACAGACACATGTATACACACACAGACACATGTACACACACACATATATGTACATACACGCAGACACATGTACAGATACACATGTGCATACACACAGACACATGTACATGCATACACAGACACACACAAAAACACACACAGATACACGTACACACACACACACACACAAATACACACGGACACAGCCCTATAAAAAGATGCAGTAGTTCATTACCTTCACTCACAGAGCCGAGTACTGCACTCTAGGGGGAGGCAGAGAGCACAGCACACACTCCTTCCTTTGCTTTCACTTTGCTCAACTATTGAGCAGTCTGCCGGCTCCCAGTGCGAGTGACAGATCTGGCCTGAACTTCGAGCCTGCTCAGCAAGACGGCCCTGGGGACACACTCGTCCCCACCATAATTTCCACTCGCCAATGCGAGCAGGCGAGTGGAAATTTCAAGGCCTAACTTACTGTCATGGTTTCGTTCAGTATTTTTCAACAAATCCATTATATATATATATATATATATTATATTGCCAAAATGGGGTAAAACAGGCAGGGGAAAGGCATCGCATTGCTAACTCACCGCCTGTCAGTGGCCTCTGGAGCACAATATGAACAAAGATCAGGCAAGAGAGATTTAGACAAATGTCTAAATCTACCTTAAAGGTGTTGTTTTTGTTCCTGTTTATGACCAAAGGTTGTATTCATAAAAAATTGCAAAGCTATGGAACAGCATGTACTTTCTTTCTGTGTGAATAAGAGCCAGCAGGCTATTTCCTCTACACGTTGAATGTTTTTCATCCATACAGTATAGAGAAAATCAGGCAAATACTCCAATTTGGCCGCTAAATGGAGCTGATTATCATAGGAGATAATAGTTTATTTACTATAATTGTCAGCTCTAACCAGTGGCTATAATGTGGTATTTTCCAAAAATGCTTTCTTTTTACTTAATGAATAACTTTGAACCTGCAGAATACATTTTCTAATAACATCAATTTTTTGCCCCCATTCCCACAGAGCAAATGTACATGCAGTTTCAAAGGACAAATAGTTCTGTAATTGTTTTAAAATAAATACACCCCTTGTCTTTCCAGCATGTCATAACCAAGTAGGTGTGATCCAGAGAAAATATTATCAGCTCTGAAAATGCATTGGGAGCTTTCAGCTGCTGCATGATCTGCGCCATCAGTTGAGGTGATGATGATGCGGTGAATGTATCAGGCTAAAATACAGGTGTTTGTGAATTTGGATGTTTCTCTTGATTCATCAGACTTTACAATTTTGTTATCACTTCATAATTGTCATTTTTCCATGTGAATTTATCCTTCAATAGTCAAGTACCAGGCTTTACATGAATGGTACATAGCAGTATCCTGTGCACTGTCCTTGGTGCTGATCCTTGGTTAGATCAGTATTTTTATTTATTTTACAAAATTAAAGGTAGAATGTGATACCACCTCCTAAAAAAATATACACCCCTCTAAGAGAGAATCTGTTACTTTACTGATGATCTCCTGACATGCATTAAAGTGGAGTCCCCCCCCCCCCCAAAAAAATAAATTAAAAGCCAGTAGCTACAAATACTGCCCCCCAAATGTGTCAGCGGAGAGGGGGGGGGGGGAAGACAGATAAGCAAATCTTCCACTTTTGCGTGGAACTCGACTTTAAGTGACAAGGCACTGGTCTGATTTCATCTAGTGGTCTCCAAACTGTGGCCCGGAGGCTGGCTGTGGTCCTTTGCTTGCCTTTATCTGGCCCTTGAGGCACTATTCCTGACTCTAAAACAAGGCACTATTCCTCCCACTGACACCAATGATGGGGCACTATTCCTCCCACTGATACCAATGATGGGGCACTATTCCTCCCACTGATACCAATGATGGGGCACTATTCCTCCCACTGATACCAATGATGGGGCACTATTCCTCCCACTGATACCAATGATGGGACACTATTCCTCCCACTGATACCAATGATGGGGCACTATTCCTTCCCACTGACGCCAATGATGGGGCACTATTCCTCCCACTGATACCAATGATGGGGCACTATTCCTCCCACTGATACCAATGATGGGGCACTATTCCTACCACTGATACCAATGATGGGACACTATTCCTCCCACTGATACCAATGATGGGGCACTATTCCTACCACTGATACCAATGATGGGGTACTATTCCTCCCACTGACGCCAATGATGGGACACTATTCCTCCCACTGACGCCAATGATGGGACACTATTCCTCCCACTGACACCTATGATGGGACTCTATTCCTCCCACTAATACCAATGATGGGGTACTGTTCCTCCCATTGACACAATGATGGGGCACTGTTCCTCCCATTGACACCAATGATGGGAAACTATTCCTCCCACTGATACCTATGATGGGACACCACTCCTCCCACTAATACCAATGATGGACACTACTGCTCCCACTAATACCAATGATGGGACACTGTTTACTTCCAGGGCCACAGTCCAACAGTTTTTTTTTTAATAAAATGTGTTCCTCTTGAACTGCCTTTTAATCCTTAGTTTGCCCTAATAAGCCCCAATTACCTCTTCCCTTCCCCCCTATTATTTTCCTGATGATTTGTTTTATTTCTATTTTTTTTTTGTTGTTTTTATCTGTTCTGTTACATAAAGCGGTATTAACCCCCAAACACTATTCTTCCCACTGACACCAATGATGGGACACTATTCCTCCCTCTGATACCAATGGTGTGGCACTATTCCCCCCACTAATACCAATGATGGGGCACTATTCCCCCCACTGATACCAATGGTGTGGCACTATTCCCCCCACTGATACCAATGATGGGGCACTATTCCTCCCACTGATACCAATGATGGGACACTATTCCTCCCACTAATACCAATGATGGGGCACTATTCCTCCCACTGATACCAATGATGGGACACTATTCCTCCCACTGATACCAATGATGGGACACTATTCCTCACACTGACACCAATGATGGGGCACTATTCCCCCCACTGACACCAATGATGGGGCACTATTCCTCCCACTGATACCAATGATGGGACACTATTCCTCCCACTGATACCAATGATGGGACACTATTCCTCCCACTGACACCAATGATGGGGCTCTGTTCCTCCCACTGATACCAATGAGGGGACACTGTTTACTCCCAGGGCATTTTCTACTCACACTGGCCACAGTCCAACAGTTTTGTTTATTTTTTAAATAAAATGTGTTCTTCTTGAACAACCTATTAATCCTTAGTTTGCCCTAATAAGCCCCAATTAACTCTTCCCCCCCCCTATTATTTTCCTGCTTTTTTTTTATTTCTATTTTTTCGTTGTTGTTTTTATCTGTTCTGTTACTTAAAGCGGTATTAAACCCAAAACCAAAAATGTAATATATTGCAGCTCACCAATCATTAGACGTGGTGGCTGCATTTGTTTTCCTTATTTTATTTTTTTAAATTTATTTCAGGTACTTATATAGCGCCATCAATTTACGCAGCACTTTACATATATATTGTACATTCACATTAGTCCCTAACCCTCAAGGGGCGTACAATCTAAGGTCCCTAAGTCACAGACATATATATACATACTAGGGACAATTTAGACAGGAGCCAATTCACCTACCAGCATGTCTTTGGAGTGTGGGAGGAAACCCACACAGGCACAGAGAGAACATGCAAACTCCAAGCAGGTGGTGCCATGATTGGAATTCAAACCAATGGCCCTAGTACTGCCAGGCAGAAGTGATAACCATTTAGCCATTGTGCTTTCTTTTTAGCTTTTTCCCTCTGTTTTAACCTGTTGATCTAGCCAGTAACACACCTCTTGTACTAGCATGCCTCCACTCTAGATGAATGAGCTCAGGAGGCACAGCAGACAGCAATATTGTCAGTCTGGGGGGAGGGGAGTGTTAAATATTAGCAGAGTTAAATACACTAACTAGTTGAAGCCAAACCCCAGCTCACACATGATAATCAGTTACAACAAACATAAAAAAGTGTTAAATGGTTTGTACCATCCATGTAAACAGATACATTCTGCTGGAGAGCCTGTGCTTTTGAAAAACAACAGACTTAAAGGCTGGATCACCAGATGAAAAAAGAAAGATAAATGCAGCCATCACATCTAAGAATTGGTAATCTGAATATATATTAAATGTTTGCTTCTGGGTTTAATACTGCTTATATTTTTACAAGGCCCAAACTGAAAAAAAAAGCCTTTTTTTGCAAACAACTTTCCAATGCTTAGCACCAGAATAATAATTTTAGTGTCATTTTAAAATAGGATAAATTATTAAATTAAATATAATATATATACCTTATCTACAGTAACAATATTTTTTGTAAACTAACATTGATCAAAGTAGAAAAAAACTTGTATTACTTTTTGTTTTGTTATTTAATTTTTTTTCTCATTAGTATTGCATTTGCATTTGCATTCTCATTTCATTTTTAAATTACTTTGCCAGGCTTTGTACCAGAATAATTTAGTGTCATGTTAAACAGAACATATAATAGAATACAATTTACATTTGTTATCTACTGTAACAATTATTTTTTTTTAAATAATGCTCAAAGAAGAAAAAGTGTGTTTTTTTGGTTTTAAGTGCTTTGTCTATAGATTGCATTATAATAATAATATAATTAATATTAAAATAACAATGAATAAATAAATAAAAAGCTATATGTATTTATCCTGATGACATTGTATTATTCCACTGTGAACCATTTTACATTAGATCATCTGGAATATCTGGAATCACAGCAAAACAAAAAAAACAAAAAACATCAAAGTGTTGCACCATTCCTCTTCCTAATGGGAGATATTACTCAATTTTCCATTGTGTGTTATTGCGGATAATGTTTTATAGCGCTCCCGGTATGCACCAGATTCTCATCATAAATTCCGGGCAATCAATTTTGCACTGTGCTTATCAATTATGTTCTGGAGAACCTGGAAAGGTTACAGCTATTTGTTACTGTCATTCCTGTTCATGCTGGATTCCGCTACTCCATCGCAGAAAAAAATGCATGGGGTACATTACGGCACCCGCATCGCGATAACCCTCAACAATGACCTAACTGACACAGCTGTCACCAATAACCCAAACTTTTTACCTTTTCAGGGCTGCATGATGACATTTTTATTGTTAGAAATGTTGGCGTATGTGCAGTGGATGATGGGACATTCAAGAGGACCAGTCATGAACAGGGGCGGACTGACGATTTGCGCACTCGGGCACTGCCTGAGGGCCCAGGGTCAGTAGGGGGCCCCATGAGAAGCCCCTAGTACCTTTCATATGCTTTTTTGGGTGTGGTTTGAGGGTGTGTGAGGACACAGGGGCCCCATGATCCCCTATTGCCCAGGGGCCCCATGAGTTGTCAGTCCGCCCCTGGTCATGAATGAGTTTAAACTAGAATATGAATTTTTAGCCTTTTAGTAGATGTAAACCCAGACTAA